AGAAGTATGAAGATGTGCCTAAACCCATCTACTATCTGATCATGGTACACATGATGCGTGGCCTGGGCCCAAGATACCCACGCTTGATACATGGCCCAGCATGTGTCGATGGCATCTAAGAAAAATAACTGCACAAAAGGCTAGCATGTGCTGATGGTGGTCAAAGCATGTGTCGAGACCAAGGGCCATCATATCAAGATGACGATCGAGGCATGTGTATGTGTTATAGTCTGCAAGTTAGTCCAGGTCTAAGGGTTCTCTCTGAGTCGAAGAGTAGTTTCAATTTTAGAAGGATAGTGTCTAACAGCTAAGAAGACAAGCTTTAAGGCATATTAGAGGTCCAGGTTATGAGGAACTAGCCTTGAACAATAGTACAGGCAGTGATCAAGACTCCAATGGCTTAGGCACGATGTTCAACCTTGACAAAATTAAGCCAAGCTTAAGTATAGGCACTGGTGAGCATTATATAAATTTACAAGCCATAAAAATGGCATTGGCATGGTAAAAGTATAAAGATGTGCCTAAACCCACCTACTACTCAGTTATGGTGCACATGGCACACAATTCGAGCCCAGAATACCTACACTTGGTACACGGCCTAGCATATGTTGATGGTATTCAAGAGAACTATCTATTCAAATGGCCAGCATGAGCCAATGGTTGTTAAAGCATGCACCAAGACCAAGGACCAACATGTCTCAATGGCAGTTGAGGCATGTGCATGTGTCACAGTCTGCAAGTTAGTCTAGGCCTAAAGGTTGTCTTCAAGTTGAGAAGCAATTCTAATTCTAGTGGGATAGGGTCCAACAGCCAAGGGGACCTAGCCTTAAGGCCTATTAGAGGCCTATGTCATGGGGAACTAGCCCAAAATAGTGGTATAGGTAGTGATCAAGACTTCAAAGGCCTAGGCACAGTGTTCAAGTTCAACAGAATTGAACCAAGCATAAGTTAAGTGTTGGTAAGTGATTATATGAATTTACAAGCCATAAAAATGGTATTGGCACGATAGAAATATGAAGATATGCCTAAACCCGCCTATTGCCTAGTCATGGTGTGCGTGGTGCATGACCCAAGCTTAGGATACCCGCACGTGGTGCTTGACCTAACATGTGCTGATGGTGTTTGAGGGAACTGCCTACATAAAAGGTTAAGATGTATCCAAAGTGGTCAAAGCATGTGTTGAGACCAATGTCCCGATTATGGTTTAGGCATGTGTATGTGTCACAATCCACAAGCTAGTCCAGCCCAATGGTTCTTTTCGAGTGAGGTGCAATTCAAATTTTAGTAAAACAGTGTCTGACAGCCAGGATGACTAAGCCTTAAGGCTTGCTGGAGGTTCGATAATGAGGAACTAGCCCAAAACAGTGGTACAGGCAATGATTAAGACTCCAACAACTCAAGCACGATGTTGAGGTTCAATAGAATTGAGCCAGGCCCAAATGCATACGTTGGTGAGTGTTATATGAATTTACAAGCCATAAAATTATCATTCACATGATAGAAACATGAAAATATGCCTAAACCCAACTACTGCCCAATCATAATGAGCATGGTGTATGGCTCGAGCCCAAGATACTCTCATGTGGTGCATGACCCAATATGTGCTAATGGTGTTCGAGGGAACTGCCTACACAAGGGCCAGCATATGCTGATAGTGGTCGAAACATGTGCCGAGACCAAGAGCCAACATGTCTCGATGGTAGTCGAGGCATATGTATGTGTCACAGTCCAGAAGTTGGTCTAAGCCTAAGGGTTCTTTCCAAGTCAAAAAGCAATTCCAATTTTAGTGGGACAATGTCTGACAGCCAAGAAGACCAAGGCTTAAGGCTTACTGGAGGTCCAAGTCATGGGAAACTAGCTTAGAACAGTGGTACAGGTAGTGATCAAGACTCCAACGATTCAAAAAAGGTGTTCAAGTTCAACAGAATTGAGCTAAGCCCAAGTATAGGCGTTGGTGAGCGTTATATGAATTTATAAGCCATAAAAATGGCATTGGCATAGAAAAAATATAAAGATGTACCTAAACCCACCTACTGCCTAATCATGGTATGCATGGTGCTCAGCCTAAGCCCAAAATACCCAAGCGTGGTGTGCAGACCAGCATGTGTTGATGGTGTTCGAGGGAACTACCCACACAAAGGGCCATCATATGCCGATGGTGATTGAAGCATGTGCCGATACCAAGGGCCAACATGTTTCAATGGTGGTTGAGGCATGTGCATGTGTCACAGTCCATAAGTTGGTCCAAGCCTAGGGATTCTCTCCGAGTCGATGAGCAATTCTAGTTCTAGTGGGATAAGGTCTGATAGCCAAGGGAACTAGGCCTTGAGGCCTATTAGAGGCCCAAGTCATGGGGAACTAGCCATAGAATAGTGGTATGGGCAGTGATCAAAATTATAGAAACTAAGGCATGGTATTCAGTTTTAGCAAAATTGAGCCAAGCCCAGGTGTAAGCATTGGTGAGTGATGTGCAAGCACACAATCAAACCCAAGTGTAGGAACTAATGATCAAGGTGTGGATGTATGGTTAAACCCAAGTGTGAGTATGCTTAAACACAGTCTTAGGAGGATTAGATTTATGGGCTTTTAGAAGGCCCAATACTATAGCACAATCTTTGACAAGCTGGAATTATGCTAAACACTTATGTTTCATAGGTTAACTTAGGCAGACAGAGTCAATTCTGTGTCTAAGGCCGCATGGAGTTTACCTTAAGACTGGAGCCCATGACACATACATTGAGCGTCATTTAGTGCTGATGGCGATCGAGGGCCATACAAGTGCCTTGGATGGGAGGGTCATGGTACACATGTCGCACCAAGTGCCAGCATCTACCAAAAAGGTGTCCAAGGCAACAATCCGCACCAAGGGCCCACTTGTGCCGATGATGGTCAAAACAAGTGCTCGCACTAAGTGCCAACATCTAGCGATGGTGTTCGAGGTAATATCCCACACCAAGGGGTCATCATTTACTAACAATGAGCCAGCATCTATCGATGGTATTGGATGTGATTACCCGCACCAACCAAGGGCCAGACACTGTCGATAAATTTCGAGGCAACAACCCGCACTAGGGGCCAATGTGTGCCAATAGAGTTCAAGGCAAGTGCCTGCACCAAGGGCAAGCTCGTCCCTATAACAAATACCAAGGCCATTTGGTTATCGTTTACTTGGACACTCGAGAGAGGGATGCAATCCCCTTGTCGAATCGGTTGCAATGGAGAACACCATTCATCCCTAACTTTATTTGAAGTCCAAATAGAACAAATTATTATTTATGATTGTGAATTTTTTTTATATTTTGCACCTCAAATTATTTTTTATATATTATTAATATATTTTGTATATTTTAAGAAAAAATTAATACTATAAATAATTATTTTATGTGAGTATTTGAGGATATTGATTTTTTAAGGGTAAAATGGTCTTTTAATAAGCTTTTTAACGGAGTTAACTGATAGAAGGATCTTAGTGTCCTATTAATTGAAAAGTTTTGGGATGGGATGTCCATTTGTTAAACTAATGTACTTGAATTGAATTATAGTTAAAACTAAAAGATTTTGTTATATTTTACCCAACATACAAGTATATTTGATTCAACCCAACCAAAGTAACATACTCGGAACAAGAAAAGCCACTATAATTGTCCTTGGTGTCCTGGCCTAGTGGCCAAGGAACCTTAAAGGGACATGTAATGCTCAGTTTTGAGCCAACCCATCCTTTGTACTCAAAAGACAAAGAAAAGAAAAAGAAAAAAGGAAAAACCACTATAATTGATCAAACTTAGTCTCAGAGCTTAATTACACTTTTCTAGTAGCTCACTCACTCAATTGTTATTATGATATGTAACTATATGAGATAACCTAAGCAAAAATAAAGCATCATATTTATAAAGGTATAACTCTATTAAACGTTTCGTTTAAGATTCAGGATAAACTTCAATAATAGAGTTCCCCTAATGAGAGATGCATTTGAAGGTGACCCCTTATCAGGTTGCGTACCTACAAGGATTTAAAAAAAGAAAAAAAGAGTTAAGATTATTTTCATGTTATAGTTTAAAGAGTAGGAAAATAAATTTAAATCTACTAATCTCCATGGAATTTAATCCATCTCCCTTCACTATATAGCTACTCTCTTTTTAACACCAAGGTAGCTAATAATATTCTTTTGATTGGCATTCCTTGGACTTCAAATTAAACAGCATTTACAAAAGCCACACTGATGAAGTAGTACAACTTTTCTTTTGGACAACAAATTTGTTTAATACTGTAACTAATACCAATACCATAGAACTAAAATCTGTCACATAACTTAATTAGCTGGTGTGCATGTGCTTGAAACTTCTTGTAAATCAAAACTTTCTAGTTCCAAATTCAAGCCTCCTCCATGATTATATTCTTAACGCAGCCACCAGGTTTAGGCCTTACTGGAATCATCGAAAGAACAATCATTGAAAACGTAAACCCTAAACCCCAGAGTTTGCAGATGAAGTCAGCCACTTCATTCACCATTTTTTAGGGAAACATAGTTCTCTAGAATTTCTTCTCGATGCAGAAGCCCTAATACCGTAAAAAAGGACCATCGGAAAGTTATAGCTGTTTTGTTGAACTGGTGTAGGCAGGAGTAGATGATGGGTACTTCCCCACCCTCATTGTTATGCTCGCGTCAACCTTTTTATGTTCACTCCAAATCCTTACAGACGGAATACAGACAATTTAAAAATCTCATCATTTTGTTCCGTCAGCAATTCATTGGTAACCATGGACGAAATTTTCCGTTTGTAAAATTCTATTGGTAATAACGAAATTTTTTATAGTGTATTTTTTATTGTAGATACCTTTAAATCTCTCAACCAATTGTAATTGGTTTAACAATTTAGTTCTAAGTTAGGTTCAATGGTTGTTACTTCTTTTCACAACGAGTTTAAAATTGAAAGGTTCACTGTTCAAGTATATTTATAATTTTTTCAAAGAACAATCATCATCTAGACAGCAGGCCACATCAGAATTTCTTCTTTCCAATTAAAGGGAATGCTAGGTTCAAAATGAGTTGCTCCAAAAATGAAGAACTCGATCGAGTTTACAACAGCATAAATATAGGTGAATTTTACGAACTAGACACTGTTTGTTGGTTCATATCCATACCTGCAAAATTGAACTTGTCTGTCAAGTAAGTTGTAATGGCCTTGACCTGTATCTTTCTACTATCGGCAAGCTTCGTTAACCCTGGTGGCACAGAAGGACAAGGATAGGGATCGCCATCATACTAAACTATACAATATCCATGGGCACCTGCAATTTATCATCGTCTTCTTCAAAAACCACCCAAACCTTGCTTATTTTGGTTTCCAGATTGCAAGAAAAAGGAGTTGCAGGCGAATTACTAATATCTCTATTTCCTCCCTTTCTGCCTTCTTCACCCATCGGTGTTGGAGTGCTAGTCTTACGGCTACACATTATAGATGATGATGATGAAGTTGTTGACATGAAACTGGAGCATCGTTCCAATGCCAAAACATGATCCATGGTGATGATCTGCACACTAGGATACCGCAGATTCTTGTTTTCAATAATTCGTTTGCAAGTTTCATACAAATCACGAAGCTCTTTGCTCTGGCGAGAAGCCCTCTTGAGTATGTCGCAGGCCAAAGTTCTTGCTGGCCTTGTCAAATCAAAAAACATGTTGACAAGAATTTCAATGCCTTCACAAAACATAAAGTAAACTTGGAAGCTCTCTTTTAAGGTGTTGCCCATGGCTGCTTGAGCCAAGTTGTCTGCGGGCACAATATCATGCAGTGAAAAATCCAATACTCTGTCTATAAACACTTGACATTTTGGCAACTTACGAAATACCATATCAACCGACTTCTCCTCGTAACAAGCAAACTCCAGGCCATTGAACATAACGGGTTCTAGTTTTCCAGCTTGATTAATGGCCCATCCCACTCGTTCTTCAAGATAAGCTGCATAGCTATGTAGGAATGAAAATGAAGAATCTGAATTCTTGAGAAAACCGTGGGTGCTCATTTGGAGATGGCCGGAAACATGAGTGCTACGTAGCTCTTGCTCGAAGAAACGGTTGCCTCCACGTAAGAGACGATGAATGAGAGAAAGAGTTTTGAGAGCCACCAAGCGGTCTCGGGTCTTGCAGAGACGGCGTGAAATCCTTTCAGCAAGAAAAGGGATGGACCCTGGGGAATTTGATACAAGGAAGAGGATCTCATGCATGTATTTGTCCTCTATGGGACCGTTATCATGGCCTGTTGCACGCAGCACTGCAATCTCTATATCAGAAAACCCTTTTCCATCGTGGTTGTATATCATGGCCTTACCAATGGATGCATGATCCTTAACTGAGCCAAGAGCTAGACGGAGCTTGCCCTGTATGTCCACTCCCATTTTCTTTTCTTTTATTTCTTTTTGATTACTATGTGTAGATAAAAGCTTGAGAAGAGGCAGATTTATATAGATAGAGATAGAAAGAAAAAGCAGAATTATTTGAAAATTAAGCAGCAATGAGGAATCGATTCTAGATTTTAAATACTCCATGCCAAACAAAAAGTATACTCCACAATACATGAAGTCAATTTGGACAGAAAAATAAGTCATTTGCAAATAAATAGCAATTGAAGCTATTGGGGTTATATATCATATTCATTGGATAGATTATAGGATCTCCAATAAATGGCCCCACTTGAAAAAGAGTAGAATTTATTAAGATTTACAAGATACATACCACCATAACGTATTTTTAGTTTGATTTCAATCTAACATAGATGTGAAAATGAAGGTGTAAAAAACTTAAAAAGTTGATGATAGAAAAGAAAAATATTAGTAAGAACAGAATACAAGAGAAATAAAATGTTGGGCCACGGGCACACCACTATAGCCTCGGATTCTCATCTTTTCAACATTCTCCCTTTCAACTAAGAATTGATTGTTAGGAAGTTGAAAACCGAATAATAATAATAATAATAAGAATGAAAGAGTGCCTTGGAAGAGAAGGCTCTTCAACTTTTGAGTTTGGATATAAATGAATAAAATACAATTCCAAGAGTCAACGAGGCAAAAGGATTTTGTGGTGGGTTGGGCAGAAAGAACCTAATTCTTCGGAATAGGATTCTCCTGCCATTCACGGCATCAGAGTGTTTAAACAAAACAACAATTTTGACTTCGCAAAATTTGCTATTCCTCACAGCCCCAGCGAGGCCCCTCCCTCCATCAATAATCCAACTTTCGAAAAAAAAAAAAAAAGGTGGAAGTTTTTGTCATTATTTTGTGGCAGAAATCAGCGAAGATGTTTCAATATAAATACTTGCTTACTTTTAAAAACATATCTCCATAGTTCAACTTGGACAATATATTCTCCACTTCAACTTGGACAATATCTGGGGTCAAAATTCCTTCTTGTTGCCAAAGCTCAAGAAATAAAATTACCAAATGTCATTTTCAAAGCCAAACCTCTAGCCTAAGTATAATCTTAAATCTTAAAATTTATATGTGAATATTAAAATATCAAATTTAATTATATTACATATCTGTTTGCGTAGTTATAAATGATAAGCAAAAGTAACATCAATTCCTAAAAAGATTAGGTCTTTATCTTCATTTTTCTCATACTTACGGCTCTTAATAGGTAGATATTGTTACTTAGAAGTAAAGAGGAGATTTTAGTCAATTTATATTAAAACCCTGGAAACCTCTCTCTCAAAGGTTTACCGGATCAAAGGCTTACACAATCACTAAACTATACTGACCTAATAAGATGTGCAAAACTCACATGTAAATTATTACAATTAATTATTTAGGCTCTAATACTCATCTTGTATTAAAATTAAATTTATCAATCTGTTTAATTAAACATTAAAATTGCCAATTAATAGTAGCACACTATCGCAACGTCTTGGGACCCAGAGGCGAGTGACCCAAAAGCCGAAGGAATGGAGAAATTTGGAAAAATGGGGATTAAAACTATCTTTAGTGAAAATCAAAACAAAGAGTCACCACAAATCTTTTTTAAGGGTGTGATTGGTAACTCAAAAAATTTTGCCTTTTAATAAAACATTTGAAACAAATATAAAAGTTTTAGAAAAAGAATAAATTTACGATTTACGAAATCAAAGTTGAGTTCAGGAGTTTGTTACGTGTGGGAAAGGGTTAGCATTCCCATAACACCTGTCGAAGGTGGCACCAATTGATTGCATATTATCCCTTAATTTTGATTAAAATAATTCTATTTTACTTAATATTTAAAATTAATTCCTTTTCTCCTTTTTTTTTCTTTTCTTTCATTTTTTTCTTTTTTTCTAGAAGCAAAAACAAATCGAATTTTAAAAACAAAACTTTTTTTTTACTTTGTATCAAGATGAAAACACTTTAAATATCAAAATACTTCTTTCAATCTATTATAATTAGGTAGAGTTTCAAAAATATCTCTAATTTAAAGGTTTTAAAATTGCCCCAAAAAATTGAGATAACAACTCTCATAAATAATAATTACCGAAAGTCTCCCTATAATTAGGTAAGATCTCAATGACTACATTTACTAAAGATATTATCTTATTTTAAAATATTTTACTTTAAAAACCAATTTTTGAAAACAAATGCATGAAATGTATGAATATAATAAAATATGATAAATGCATGACAATATAATGTAGATGACAAAGTATGAATGCATGATAATATAAAAATGCATGTGATGACAAGATAAAATGAAATACAAATGCATAATTAGTTTAGGGTTTAGGGTTGGTTTTGGGGTTTAGGGTTTAGATTTTACGTTGTAGGGTTTTATTTTAAGGTTTCAATTTAGGGTTTGAAGTTTAGGGTTCAGGGTTTGGGGTTTAGGGTTAGGTTTTAGGGTTTAAGAATTAGAGTTTCATAAGATTTGAGGTTTAGGGTTTGATGGGATTTGGAATTTAGTTTTCAAATTTTTGGGTTTCATAGAAATGGGCATGAAATAAAGGTAAATTGCATATATGCCATTAAGGAATGCATGTTGATTGTTGTTTTTCGTAAAGCCTGCAAGTGCACAAATCAAGTAATGACAATAGAAGTATTCTAGTATCATCTTCTAAGGGATTATAGATTATAAATGTTGGGTAGTTCACAGTTACCAATGGTGAAATCTTGGATTCCTATATCTAAACAAATGAAAGATTAAGGTTGTAATATTGAAAAGCAGTGTAGGCTTAGATCTTAATTTCACCAATTGTCACTTAGGAAATAAATAAGAGTAGCCAAAAAATAGATTTAAAAGAACAATAAGTGAAAGCTTGGAAACAAAAAGAGAGTGATTGTTGAATGCTTGTAAAGAACTTAAAACAAAGATTGCATACAAATAAACTTGTAGATCATCCAAAATAGTAATAGTCGAAACTTGTAGGTAGTAAAAAAAATATTGTAAATCAAACTTATAAAATAAAGAATGCTTTGCCAAAATTAAGAATGTAAAAACAAGATTTGAAAATAGAATAATGAAAGAAAAGATCTTGAAAAATTACTTCTTTAATTGAAAGAAAATAATTTAAAGAACAAGACTATGGTTATTGGCAAATATGTCGCCTAAATCGATAACTTAAACCAAAAAAAGCAAAAAACTAAAGAACTAAAGAGAGAAAAGAATAATAAGATGAGGGATGATGGAATGGGGTGAATGGCCTCCTTATTTATAATAAGGGAATCAGCCAACAAGGATAAGTTTACAAGATTTTGATTTAAATTCCAATACTAATAGATGAAGGTTACCTTGATTTTCAAATGAGGCATGAAAAAGGTAGACTCTTCCTTTTTGAGAATGCTTGGCCAAATGGGGTCTTTGATAAGTAAACTAGGCCTTTGATCAATGCTTGATGAAATTCTTGATAAATCCTTTCTTTAAATAAGGCTAAGATGAGTTTTAAGAGCAAGAATTTAAATCACAACCAACTCTTGAACAGATAAAGTCCTCTTTTAGGCAAAACTCTTCAAAGGATACCTCTTAAACTCTCTTTGGCTAAATGTATCTAGTCTCCATAATGGTGAAAATTGCCTGAAGTCCTTATTGAATTAGGTCTTGGCCAAATATGAAAAGCATTGGAGAGTCATTGAGGTCACCAAATAAGCTTTATCATTCTTTGCATTTGAGATGGTCGATTGGATAGAGTTCTTGTGCATGTTTAACTCTTCTAAAAGTAATTAAAGAGTTTCTTTTGAATGAAAACACTTTTGGCCAATCATGCAAGAGTTTTTATGCAAGCAAAATTCCATCATGGCTTAGTGAATGAGTCACTCTTGGATTAAATCTCTTTGGTTGATAAAAAAAAGAGTCCATATGTAAGCAAAACTCTTCTTTTATTGCATAGTTAAAGGAATTACACCAATGAGGTTTAGCCAACCCTTCGTCTTGCATAGTCAAATATGCCTTTAGATGCATGATTGCATGTTTTCCTCATCCATAAGCTTGAAACTCTAAAAGTCATAAAATAGGCATTAAGTACTAAAAATCAATCAAATCTTAAAATTTTGCACCCATTTTAACATGTAAAAATACTATATCTTTAGGTGTTATCAAACCTCTACACTTAAATTTTTTGCTTATCCTTAAGCAAAAATCTTAAATCAAGAAAATTAAAAATCATTATACATACTCATAAAGTCAAAAATCATATAAACTTCCTATCATGCACTACTGCATAATATAAAGCTAAGTATAAACATAGAGTTATAGGAAATTCCTTCAAAAACAAGCTTGCAATATCTTATGTTCATTACACATATATCTACTAAATTTTTAATTCATCATATAACTCAAGTAAAAAGAATATAAAACATTTCATCACATTTCAACTTAAAGATAGAATAGACTTCATATGTTCACTTTCCTTTTCCTTGTCCACTAATACTAGACTTATATACTTGACTTAAGATCAAAAGGTCTTTTAGGCTTGTAATGTAGAACTTGGGTCTAGGTAGGAAAAAGAAAAGTTTAGGCTAAAAAACCCTAAGCTTATTTTCTTTGAAATTTCTTGGACTTCAAATAATTGAAAGCTTTTTTTGAAACTTCTAGGACTTCAAATAATTGAAAGCTTTTTTTGAAACTTCTACTTTTGAAGCATCACTTTATTATTCATGGCAACTTTTTATTTTTTTGGAAAAATATAGCCATTTTTTGCTTTATTAGGCTTTGCCTTTGTTTTTATCATTTTCTTTTCTTTCATTCCTCGCACCTCCCTTTATCCTAAATACATAGAGATGTCCATAATACACAAGTAAGCACAATTGAGTTAGGTAAACAAAAGAAAGAATAATAATCATAGAAAAGGCTTTATTAGCTTATTATGTGGCTAAATAAACAAAGAAAAGGAAATATAATAGGCTCAAAATAAAGGTACTAACGATAGATTACAACAAGATGGCTTGAAAAAGGCTCAAATGGTCCAAAGAACTGCCTAGATCATTTCTTAAGTCAAATGTAGTCTAGGATTTCGATTCAAAGGTTAAGTAGGTGAATTCTATAGCACTTATTCATATCCTTAAATCTTATACAAATCCACATCACATAGACTGTCACAAAAATCAAAACATTTCATTACAAGAGAATAGAGACATATGCATAAAAATCATATCCATAAAGAAACATGCTTAAGA